ATTTTATCTGTGTATTCAAAAAAAAAACAAAAAAAAAACAATATAAAATTAAATAAAATTAAATAAAATAAGATAAATTATATATTTCGTAAGTTATTCAATAGAAAATTAATTAAATTTATCAAGTTCAATTTATTTTTTTGTTGTTTGAAAAAAAATGTTTTTACACACATATTGTGTTTAGTTTGAACGTTTAGACCTTCACTAAAAAAAACAAACAGTATATTAATTAATAATTGATTAATAATTAATTTTTATCATAAAATAGTTTTTTAGATTTTGACTTTTGATTTTATATATATATATATATATATATATATATATATATATATATACAGTATATATACAAACATAGGCACAGTGTAGCACAAGATATATGTTTGTTTTTGGGTACTGTTATCACAAATTGATAATTTAAATGATATTATTATTATATAATAATATATATATTAAAAATATTTTGTTAATTTAAAAGAATTTTTTTATAGATAAATAAATTAAATAAAAAAGTATTATGTAATTATTAGATAATTTGTTACACATATAACTTATATAACTATTTTTTTCTGATTAAAGATATTAACAAAATAATTAGATATATAAACGATTGATAACAAAACTAATAATTATTGGCAATAGTTTTAGTCACATAAACATATATATATATATATATATATATATAACAACATATTATTGAAAGATAGTCATTATATTATCAAATATAAGCACATATTTAACGCATAAAACTATAATATAATGGAAAATAATAGTTAAAATACATATTTTTTATAATGTTTTTCTATGTATATGTATTATTGTTTTTTTATATATTTTAAAATAAATAAACATTTTATGCAATGTATTTTACATTATTAATATTTGATATAATATAGAGTATAAAAAATAAGATATAATAAATCAAAATTATTTTATTTTAGCAAAAAATGGCGGCAAAAGTATTATTTTAGTTGTTTATTTTGTCATACAGAGTCATTTGATACCCTACATGACTAAAGTTGAGTTTATTTTGTCATACAGAGTCATTTGATACCCTACATGACTAAAGTTGAGTTTATTTTGTCATACAGAGTCATTTGATACCCTACATGACTAAAGTTGAGTTTATTTTGTCATACAGAGTCATTTGATACCCTACATGACTAAAGTTGAGTTTATTTTGTCATACTAAGTTATTTGACTATATGACTAAATCAACTGACAATTAATTTGCGAAGATAATAATTTATTTCGTCAAAGTTTTTTTTTCTAATAATGCTTTCTAGCATTCTTAACTGGTTTTTATTTATCTATAAAAAAATTCTATTAAATTAACAAAATATTTAATATATATTATTATATAATAATAATATCATTTAAATTAGCAATTTGTGATAACAGTACCCAAAACAAACATATATCTTGTGCTACACTGTGTCTATGTTTGTATATATACTGTATATATATATATATATATATATATATATATATATATATATATATAAAATCAAAAGTCAAAATCTAAAAAACTATTTTATGATAAAAATTAATTATTAATCAATTATTAATTAATATACTGTTTGTTTTTTTTAGTGAAGGTCTAAACGTTCAAACTAAACACAATATGTGTGTAAAAACATTTTTTTTTCAAACAACAAAAATAAATTGATAACTTGATAAATTTAATTAATTTTCTATTGAATAACTTACGAAATATATAATTTATCTTATTTTATTAAATAGTAGTAGTAGTAGTAGTAGTAGTAGTAATACTCAAACTGTATATATATAGTGGATTTAAAATTATCAAGCTCATTTGCTATGCGCTAGCTTATGTATGATTGTTATTATATTGAATGGCAATTTTAGAGATTATTTACTACTCTACTAACACACACACATACATACAGACACCAACACACATATATATATACAAACAGGCAGACAGAGAGCAGACACACACACACACACACACACACACACACACACACACACACACACACACACACATACATACATACATACATATACATACATACAGACACCAACACACATATATATACACAAACAGGCAGACAGAGAGCAGACACACACACACACACATACATACATACATATACATACATACAGACACACACATACATACCTACATATACATACATACAGACACACACATACATACCTACATATACATACATACAGACACCAACACACATATATATATACACAAACAGGCAGACAAAGAGCAGACACACACACACACACACACACACACACACACACACACACACACACACACACACACATACATACATACATATATATATATACACACACACACACATACATACATTCACACCATGTTTTTTTACATACATATTGTTTTTCAAAAAAAAAATTAACTTGTTTATTTTTTTAATATGTATATATATTTTTTAAATAATAAACAATTAATAAAAAAAATATTAATATTATTGTTTATATAAATATCTGCATATTATAATAATTATGCATCAAGTATATTATTTAATTTAAGTATTATATTTATTATAATGACTTTAGGTATAAAAATATTATAATTATTATTATAATTATTAAATTTTATTAGATTTTTGCAATAATTATATATTTAATATTTTAATTAATAACATAATATTATTATTGTATTTACTGTTAAATGTGAATTTATTTACTAATCTCTAAACTAATTTAAATAAATAAATAAATATTAAAAAATTTTACAGTATAATAGTTTTAAAAGTATAAAAAATAATTATTTTAATTTTAATTTATTAATAAAAATTTATTTTTTTTAATAATTATCATTATTACTAATTAATTATGTCTTAATTAAAAAAATACAACTCATAATAAATTAATGTAATTATTTTTTTTATCTATATTTACTATCATATAAATAGTGATATTTTTTCAAAATATATTAAAGTAGATATTTATATTTAATAATAAAAATAGTGATCAATATAACACAATATAGTCTGGATCATTTTTTAAGTATTAATTATTTATAAATATAATACTGTAAATTATTTTGATAGTATTTATATATATATATATATATCATGAAAGCTAATTAAATAGTATTTAATTTAAACTATTCAAAAATAATAATCTATATTGTTATTATTTATTTATAACATAATAATAATAATATTTTGTTTTATTTGTTTAGTTTTACTAATTATATATAAATTAACAAAAAAAAATATTATATATAAATAAAAACATTTTTCCCCATATAATACTATTATTTTATCAAAATTTTTTTTTTTTGATTAACATTATAATCAACTTAATTATTAATTATAACAATAATAACAACAAGTTATAATAATAATTAAGTTATTAAGTTAACCAAAATTTTTTTTTAATGTGCAAGCTAATTTTGTTAATTAAATACTATTATACTAGTACTAGTAATGGACAGTTGGTTATTTGTAGGCCGTATCCAACCCAATTTTTATACTACTACTACTACTACTAATAATAATAATAATAATAATAATAATACCAGTAGTAGTAGTATTAGTAGTACTAATATTTACGATAATACCGATACATACGATATGTATGAAAATGTTTCGGTCGGGACTGTGTATGCCATTACATACCGATACCCAGACCGTTAGGAAAGTTATCAAATGCCAGAAAAAGTCGATTAGTATCGGATCGGATAGTTTTTTTGTTGTTTGTTGATAAAGCTGTTTAAACAATATATTTTTTTTAACAATTACTGTAAATAATTTTTTTTATAAATATATATTTGATTGTAATAATACTATACATACAATAATAATTGATTGGATATTTATTAGTAACTTATAATGTACTATATAAACAATACAAAACTAATATTATATTTTTAAAAAAAATTATATTATACTTATTAATAATTATTATAATTATAATTATTATGTTTTTATATCAATAAATATTACTAATAACTAGTAGTTATTTGTAATGTATATATACTTGTATATATAATGTATATATATATATATATATATATATATATATAGTATATATACTTTAGATTTTAAATATATATATAAAACAATTTTTGTTGTTATTTTTAGATTTATATAAAATATTTATTTATTTTTTTATAATAGATTTGCGTTCATAAAGTTTTTTGAAATTTTAAATTAATTTCATGTATATATATACTGTATATACAACTATTTTTCAAAAATTTACAACAATAATAATTTTATTTTAACCTTTTAAATATAATAGTAGTTATTGTTAAAAATGCTATTAAAAATAAAAAATTATTTTTGTAATTTAGTTGGTATTAATAATTGTATTGAATAATATTTAAAAAAAAAATAAAAGTTATATATTTGAAATTATATTTTTGTTGTTGATTTATTCAAATTAATTTTTTTTAACAAATAATTTTTAAACAGATTTAAACTAACTAAACATTACAAACATATTTAATTTGTTTTTTTAATGATCTACTATTGATAGTCTATATTATGTTTTTTATTTCGATAACTTTTATTTTATTATTTGTACATGTTAGATTTTTATAGTCAAATATATTTATATTGTTTATTTAAAGTTCAGCTAGATAAACATTTAAGTCAATCAAAAAAATATATATATATATAAAATTTAAAATAAATTTATTTTATTATTTATTTTTATTTAAAAAAAATCATATTTAATAATAAGTTACAATTATTACTATTATCATTCAAACAGTTAATTAAATATTGTAACAGAGTATTTTATTATTATTATTATTATTATTATAATCATAAATTAAAATTATAATAATATATTAATAAATAAAATAAAAATTTAATATAAATAAAAATATCAAAAAAAATATGTATTGATACAAATATTTTTAGTATAAAAATCAATTACATATTTTAAGGATAAAAATAAATATATTTAATAATAGTATTTAATAACAAATTTAATTTAGTTTAGTTTTTTATTTCAATAAAAATTATGTTTAAATATTTTAGCATGCTAAATTTGTTGTTTTTCATAGTAGTAGTAATTGGCAATTGTTTTGCCGATGATAATGATTACACTAGTAATAAATCCGATGAAAATTTACGTAAATTTCGCAAACAGTTTTGCGTACCCAAGCGTACTGACAATGAAATTGTTAAGAAAATTATCGATTGCGAGAACAAAGCCATGAATGGGTCGACCAATGATTTTAAACTATTGAAAGTTAAAGTAAAATATTTTTTTTTAAAAATTAATTAATTTAAAAAAAAATTATACAAATTTTAATATATATTTATTTTATTAGTTTTATTTTTAATTTAAAAAATAATATTTATAATTATTTTAAGTAAATAATATTTATAATTATTTTTAAGAAAATAATATTTATAATTATTTTTAAGAAAATAATATTTATAATTATTTTTAAGAAAATAATATTTATAATTATTTTTAAGAAAATAATATTTATAATTATTTTTAAGAAAATAATATTTATAATTATTTAAATAAATAATATTTATAATTTTCTTTTTAAAAAAAATATTTATAATTATTTTTAAAAATATTTTTAATTTTTTTAAAAAAATAATTATTAGCTAGACAAAATAGGTGAACAGTGTGGCCAGGGTTTGGATACGGAAATAGCTGCCTATAGTAAAGTTGATCTGAAAAATGATCAAGCTAAACAACTACTATTGGCTGAATGTTCACCGAAACATGAAACGTGTTATAATAATGAATTAAATAATAATAAATTACTAGTAGAAGATTTACGGAAAATTTCCAATGAATATTATGCTGCATTTAAATGCTATGTGGTAAGTTTTATTATTATTTTTTTTTAATAAAAAATTTATTTATTGTCTATGTAAAGTTAGTAATTTTGTTTTTTTTAAATATAATTAACCTATTAACAAATTTAATTATATATATATTTTTTAGTTTTTATTTTAAATATTTTTATTCATACTTATTATTTTTTTTTTTATTTTTTTTAGGATTGTGCATTGAAAGTTGTTAATGTTTGAAAATAAAATTTTTATTAAAAAATTGTATTTTTCACTAATATATTGATTATAATATATTAGTATAAACTAAAATAAAATAAACTAAAATAAATTGAAATTTTTGAATTCATTAAATAATACTTATTATTGAGTTATTATTGAAATGTAATTTTTTATTAAAAAAAAATCTAATTATATTTTGAGTTATTTATTAGAATATAATTATAATTTGTTTTATAATTAGAGTTTTTTTAGATTTTTTTGTGTTAAATAGTTTACAATAAAATATTGAAAAAATATTTATTGTTTTTTTTTAAAAAATAAATTACATGAATGACAAAAAATTATATTAAAATAAAGTTATAATAATTTTTGTTTTGTAAGTACATAATACTGTATAAATAAATTAACAAACAAAAAACTAATACTATTGCTATAAAAATTATTTTATTATTAATTTAAATAAATTAAAACTAAATAAAAAATAATTATATTAATTATACCCATATAATTTTTATAGATTACAAATTAAATGTAATTAAAATTGCAATAAAGTTTTTCATAGAATAATTGTATTAAAAAAAATAAAAACATTTTTTACAATTAAAAAATAATTATTTGTTCATAAATTATTTAAGTGCATAATACTGTATAAATTATTTAAAAAAAAAACTATTTTAACACAATTATGCAATTAAATAAAAATAAAAAATATTACAATAAAATTTTGTAATAAAGTATATGGTATAATATGTTACTAATTAAACAGCTATTTAAACAATATATATATAAATTATATAACAACAAAAAAAAACAATGACATAGTTTTAATAATTAATTTTTTACAGTATATATATATATCATACATACAAACTGTTATACTATTATTCAAATAATTAAAATTAAATACCAAATATAATTATAAAAATATAATTAGTTTTTTTGTGATTTATTAATTATCAACAATAATAATATTATTATTATTCATAATGTCTAACTATGCTAATATGTGCATGCTAATTTTATTGTCTCAAATATTATTATCATTGTTATCATTAAACAATTGGTTTATTGTCGGTATTAATGCTAATACAGATAATTTTGATTTTGAGGAAAATACAGGTAAACTGCGTAAAGCTTTTTGTGTGCCCACACAAACTGATACGCAAATCGTGCGTAAGTTAATTGATTGCGAAGACAAATCATTGAACGGTGTATCCAATGATTTGAAACAATTGAAAACACAAGTAATATATATATATATATATATAAAATATAATTTTATTTATTTATAATTATTTTTATTATACTATTTTTAACTACTACTATCATAATTAAATAGTATTATTAAATATATAAATATTAATAAATTTAATTATTAATTTATTTTGTTTAGAAAATATTATCGCTAAATTATAATATTATTTTATATTTTAATTTAAAAAATTTATTTAAATTTTAAACACTATACTTTAAATAAAATTTTATTATTATTATTACATTGTATTATTTAATATCAATCAATTATAATAATTTATTTATAAATATTAAATTAATTTTAGAACTAGAAATTAATACATTATTTATAATTTAACTATTTAATTAATATTTATTTAATTAACTATTTAATAAATTTATTTAATTAACTCATTTAATTAACTTATTTAATTAACTCATTTAATTAACTTATTTAATTAACTCATTTAATTAACTCATTTAATTAACTTATTTAATTAACTATTTAATTAACTTATTTAATTAACTTATTTAATTAACTTATTTAATTAACTATTTAATTAACTTATTTAATTAACTTATTTAATTAACTTATTTAATTAACTTATTTAATTAACTTATTTAATTAACTTATTTAATTAACTTATTTAATTAACTTATTTAATTAACTTATTTAATTAACTCATTTAATTAACTCATTTAATTAACTTATTTAATTAACTATTTAATTAACTTATTTAATTAACTTATTTAATTAACTTATTTAATTAACTTATTTAATTAACTTATTTAATTAACTTATTTAATTAACTTATTTAATTAACTTATTTAATTAACTTATTTAATTAACTTATTTAATTAACTTATTTAATTAACTTATTTAATTAACTTATTTAATTAACTTATTTAATTAACTTATTTAATTAACTATTTAATTAACTTATTTAATTAACTATTTATTAAGTATCACAAAATAGAGGAACAGTGTCTAAATGGTATGGATGGGGATATTAGCGCCTATAGTAAAGTCGATTTAAAAGATGAAAAAGTTAAACGTTTTTTACTATCGGAATGTTCCCAGAAATTTATCGACTGTACTACCAATAAACTAAGCAAAGATGAAACTACGGCTAAAAATATGCAAAAATTGTATCAAGAATTTCTAGGTTCCTATAAAAAGCATCTGGTAAGTTTTTTTTGTTTTAATTAAAATTAAAATTATATATTTATTTTTAATTTTTTAAAATAAAAAAACAACATTATCAATAGGTTTTCAATAATTTTTTATCAGTAATTAATTATAATTATAAATAATTTCTGAAAAAAAAATTATAAAAACTACTGAAAATGTTGTTTTTTTTAAATTAAAATTATATATTTTATTTTTAATTTTTTAAAATTTTACAAATTTTATCATGAGGAATTAATTATAATTAACTTAAAATTAAAATTATTTATCTATTTATTTAATTTTTTGTTAATTTGATTTTCTATAGGAATGTGCAAAAAAAGTTTTAAATATTTAAATACAACATTATTTTGGATTATTTTTGTTTGGAAAAAACTTTTCTTGAAAAATATTTACTAAATTATTATTATTATTATAAAATAATTTTTTCAACTATTAATGAATTAATGAATTAATTTATTAATCATTGAAAATAAAAATAAATAGTAAGCAATAAATAAATTGCAAATAATAATTATATTTTATTCAAAAATTTTTAATCTATACATTTAATTAATTTTCATTGTTATTATATTTATTAATTTTATTACAAAATTTCTAATATTTATTAATTTTATTACAAAATTTCTAATATTTATTAATTTTATTACAAAATTTCTAATATTTATTAATTTTATTACAAAATTTCTAATATTTATTAATTTTATTACAAAATTTCTAATATTTATTAATTTTATTACAAAATTTCTAATATTTATTATTTAAGTAAAATAATAAAAGTATGTTTTAACCAAAATTAAACTGTTTTTTTCTGTAACTATTAATTTCCATAAATAATTTAAATCTAAATAAATAAGTATTTTTTTGTTTATTTTATTTAAAATAACTAAACATTTTATGTTTATTAATACATTAAACAAATGGTATTTATAAGCTATGAATACATGAAAAAAATGTATTACAAAATGTTATAATAAGTATACTATTAATAATAATAATATAACAAAAAAATATCATTTACTTTATTTTATTTTGAACAACTAGTTAAACAAAATATAATCAAATATTTTAATATTTTTAAAATATATTAATATTTTATATGTTCAAAATAATTTAAGTGTTTAATACTGTATAAATTTATTAATATATATATATATATATATATATATATATAATAATATATAATTATATATATATTATTTAACTAGCTGTTTAGTAAAATAAATAAGTTATAATATAGTTAATTATAAATTTTAATCTACTATAATTGTTAATTTCTTTATTGTATGATCCATATATTTTATAAATATATACTAATTAATTAATTATAACAAAAACATAAATACATTATTTAATATTATTAACAATATAATAAATTCATACAATTATAATTTATCATTGAAAATAATTTTATCTTAAATAAATAAATATATTTGTTTTATTTGTTTAAGTTTACAGTTAAATTTTTATAAATTGCTATTAAAAAAATAAGTAATTAAAATTCTAATTACATTTTTTAAAAAATAATTATAATAGATAAAATTAAAAAATTAATAATTTATAATTCAAAGTTCATAATAAGTGCATAATACTGTATAAATATATTATATATATATATAAATATATATATTGTATTTGGATCACACAAACACACAATTAACTAATTAACAAATATATTATATTTATTACATTAAAATTATAATACCTAATATATAATTGTTAATAATTAATTTAATAATAATAATAAATTTAATTAAAAATAATTTCAAATAAATATAAATTCAGAAAAATGCTAAAAAAATACTAATAATAATAATAAATTATATTTAAAAAATAATTCCTAATTCAATAGTTCATAATAAGTGCATATTAATGTTTAAATTTATTATATATATATATCAATATACAGTATATATATATATATTATTTATATCATACAATTACACAATTAATCAATTAACAAATATATTACAAAACATTTTTTTTAAAAATTAAGTATCATTTATTTATTTTAGTAAATAGTTATTTAAACAGCTATTTATACATTTTATTTCATAATTTTAATTATAAAATTTTAAAAATATATATATATATATGCATACAAACTATGTTATACTTTAATTCAATTATTTGGGTTAATACTAAAATAAAATAAAACATTTAAAAAATTTTAGTTATCAAAAAAATACTAATATTATTATTATTAATAATAATAATAGTAACAACAATGTTTTACTATACTAATATGTGCATGCTAATTTTATTGTCGCAAATATTAATGTTATTTTTAAACAATTGGTTTATTAATGCCGACAATAATAATAATAATAATAATGATAATAAAGATTTTAATTTAGCTGATAATTTAAGTCGTTTACGTAATGCGTTTTGTTTGCCCGATAAAACTGATACGCAAATCGTGCGTAAGTTATTGGATTGCAATACCCATGCATTGAACGGTTCATCCAATGAATTCAAACAATTTGAAGAAAAAGTATAAACTAATTAATTAATTATTATTATTATATATATTAATATATTATTTTTTAAAAAATTAAAATATAATAGAAATTATTATTATTATTTTTTTAAAAATACTTGTAAATAAATTTAAGTAATTAATTATAATAATAATAATAATAAATAATATTATTTTTAGATTTAAATAGATTAATCAAAAAAATAAAATTAAAATTTAAAATAATTATTGATTAAAGTAAAAACTAATAAATTTATAGTATTTAGTAATTAATTATAATAAAAATAATAATAATAAATATTTTTGTTTATTTACAGTTAAATAGATTAATGAAAAATAAATAAATAAAATATTTCAAATAATTATTGATTATGATCTTAAAATATTACATCAAAAATTTAATACAATTTATTATTATTATTTTAATATCTATTTTTTTTATTAATTAATTAATTTATACTTTTTTTTATTAAGTATCATAAATATGATCAAATGTGTTCAATGGGTTTGGATAGCGATTTCCAAACGTATAGTAAAGTCGATTTAACTGATAAAGTTGTTAAACAATTTTTAATTGCCGGATGTTCCCAGCAATTTTCTAAATGTTCCAAGGAAAAATTACGTACAGATGAAACCATAACAAAATTAATACAACAATATTTTCAAGAATTTTTTGCATCTTGTAAATTGTATCTGGTAAGTTTTTTATATTTTAATTTTTTAAATTTTGTTTTAGTTTAAAATGTAATAATTGTTTTTTGAAAATATTTATTTACTATATTATAGGAATGTGCAAAAAAAGTTATTAATTTCTAAAAAATAAATGGATTTTATTGGAAACAACTTTTTTCAAAAAATAAATAAAAATATTTTTATATTGATTAAATTCATTATAAAAATTTATATTTAAATAAACTAGAAATTCAGTATAATTTTTTATTTTTAGTTTTGATATTTAATTTTTTTTTGAATCAATATCTCTATACTTTATAGTATACTAACAATTATAACAACTAATTATTAATTTAAATATTAATTTAAATATAATATTTTTTAAAAAAATCACTATTGTTTTCAATAAAAATTATTTGAAAAGTTTTTTAATAAAAATTTTTGCAACACAATAATAAAAAATTTGAAATAATAAAGTTATTTATACATAATTTTCTTTAAAGTAAAAATATTAATAAATCATACAATTGTTTAATTAGATATAAAAAATATTTGTAATTATTTATGTAATAGTTGTTAACTAATTTGTTTTTTTTCAAATAAATAAATAAATAAGAAAATTAAGCATTATATAAACTAAAATTATTTTTTTATAAATTTAAAATATATGTATATATTAAATAACTTTGTATTCAAATTTTTACAACATTGTATTCAACCAAATAAAAGCATAAAAAATATTTTATATCATATAATTTTTCTTAAACATACTATTGTATATAAATTTAAAAAAACAAAATTTTTTATTAAATAAATAAAAAATTCTAATTCTAATAATAATAATAATAATTTTTATAAACATATTTAATTAAATGTTTCTAATTGTATATTATTTATTTAGTAAATAATATATTTTTTTCTCACTATTTTTAATAAATTTTTTTTTCAAAATATATATTAAAAATAATAATAATAGTAATAATTACTACAATATTTTATACAATTTATTTAAATAACAATAGTTTATTTTTTACATTGAATTATTTTTAATACAAAATTTATATATTTAAAAACATACTAAATAATCAATATATGTTATATATACATATTGTATTTTCTATGTTAAGTAATTAATATAACATTTGTATTATCTAATTGTATTTATAATTATTATAAATATTAATATATATTATTTTATTGTAAAAATAATAAATATTTGTTACTATTAAAAAACAACAACAATTATAAATTAGTTATTTTGTTTAAAATTTTTTTTTATTAGTGATATAAAATTATATTAACAAACTTTAATTTTATACTTCAAATAATACTTAATAATAAACAATTTGTTTTATTAATAATACATTTTAAATCATATATTATTGACCCAACAAAATAAAATTAATGATAATTATTTTTAAGTACTTATAAAACACAACAACAAACAAACAAACAAAACAATAAAAATATTTTATTAATAAAAACATGTTAAATATTGAATAATTATATATTATAATATATGTTATGTATACTATTAAAAATAATCAATAAATATATATATATATAAAGTAAATTAACAATATAATATTTAAATAAACTATTTGTAATGATATATTTTTATTTGTAAATGTATTTACTATCTAAAAAAATACATAACAAAAAATCAATAAAATATTTTTGTTTGTATTTTCTAATAAAACTTTATAATAATAATAATACTACTAATAATAAAATAAAAATTTTTAATATTATTTCTAAATTAGAAATTCTAATATCATTTAAATTTAAAATAATTTTTGTTATAATTGTATTATTATTATTTTTTTAAATTATGATATTATTATTATTATTATTATTAATTATAAATAATTTCTCGTTTATTGTTTGTGTCGATATAAATGATGACAACAACAATATATTTGTTTATAATAATATTGATGATTATAATCGTCAATATACTCGTAGATTAAAATCTATGGTTTGTTTGCCTAATAAAACTGATACAGAAATTGTGCGTAAATTAATTGATTGTGAAATTAACTCATTACTGACTATAGCAACAAATAAATTGAAACCATTGAAAGCTAAAGTATAATATAATATTTTTTTTAAATTTTTTGTTGCATATAATATATAATTGAATTTTGTGTTTAAATAAAATATTATTATTATTATTATTAGTAAATATTTTAGTA